AACCGGGAGCGCATTCAAATTAATTCGAGAACGCAAAAATGCGCAGTTATCTTCAAGAATTAATTTGAATGTGTTCCCGATTGAATTTTTAGCTGAAATTTGGTATGAGTAAACTAGACTTGGTGAATAAGATACTCAAAAAAATCATCAAAAATTCCACCGGGAACTGCCCCAAATCACGACGGCTGGACCGAACCTCCTATAGAAGGATTTAATTGACATTTTTATGAAAGTTCGAGAACCTATTTGACAGTTTTCCCAAAAAAAAAAATTATATAAAGTATGAAAAATAGCTAAAATGGTTTATTAAATTCAACCCATACAACCACAAATGTAACTTCAATATTACTTTTTTCACTACTATATTTTCGAGTCTTTTGTAACAGCAGAATTCATTACCTTTGGTCCAAAAAACCGTTACATTGGACTTATTGTAATAGTTTCATTATTACACAATTTAGCACGCCAAATTTACACAAACGTTACGTGCTTAGTGAAGAGAAAAGGGTCAAATAAGGTCTTCTACTATTATGAAATAGTCACATAAGATCATGTACTCAATAAAGTGTCATATAAGTATATCTACTTCTAAAAAGCAATCAAATGAGTCCTAATGACCTATTTAACACCTCTTAATCTCAGTTTCAACGTACTTTTGACCATCTTTTTAGAATACATTATACGACATATGTCGAATATTTAACTAATATTGGTTGAAATACAAGTCAAAAAAATCGACATGTAAGCTAAAATCGGGATTAGGAGGTGTTAAATAAGCTGTTAGGACTCATTTGATTACTTTATACAAGTAGAGGTACTTATATGACACTTCATTGAGTACATGGCCTTATGTGACTATTTCGTAATAGTAGAAGATCGTATTTGACCCTTTTCTCTTTAGTGAAAAAGATGGATGATAAGCCGAAAAATAAGATCGGCACGTAAGCATTCTTACTTATGGTATGATCTGCAATTTAATTATTTGTTAATCAATGCAACTATATTTTTTATAAACTTTTTAACATTCAATTTTATTTTTGTGTTGCAATAAAATTTCAAAGTATTTTAAATGTATACTACCTACATATCACTTTAGTTGTCTCATTTTCTTTTTTGGGTGTTTCAAATTAACTATCCCATTTCCCTCTGGAAAGAAACTCACTCAAAAGGCAGCTACAGTACCAATACAGTACTGTTACAGTACCAATAGGGGAGGTCGGGGGTCAAGGTGGTCAGCCGACCCTCTTGAAAGTTTGAGAATAGAGCTCTAAAATACCTTTGATTGATATATTATATGACGCTCGTAACTCATTATGACTAAAAAGTTATGTCTTCTGGAAAATCGGTACTACCTAAAATTTTAAAGATCGCGTATAATTTACTCATGAAGTGATATGACTCAGAGACAAAGAAAAGACAAAATATCTTAATACTACGAGTGTCTACTTAATAGTCACTTCTTTTTTGAGAAGAAATCTTGATAGTATGCTGGGTGAGAGAGGAAGGCATAGGGGGTCATTCGAGGCAACAACTAGTGCAGAAACCCTTCGACTAAACCTGTATAAAAAAAGTTTACGATATATATGACATGTATATCAAATGATTCAAATCTATATCTCTGTTAATCTCATTTAAATTGAATCGATTGTGGAAAGATGAAAAGCTAACAAATTGAACACTCCTTATGCAATGGATGTAGAAGTGAAGCTTGTTCATGTAGATTGTAGTATATGTTTTTTTGCTAAAATATTGTTTAACAAATTGAAGCTTGTGTATACTAAAATTAAGTAGGTGAATATCTTGCTTCTTGATAGAAGTACGCCACAAACAGTTCATTAAGAACCGAAGGATTTTATGGAGGACCACCGAACAAAACATGCTTGGGCCAAATCTCTCAGGGTCCCAAACTAGCTGGACTTGAACAGAAATATGTACACAAAAAGAACTTGGTGTCTTTGGCCATTACTACATTAGCATAGTTTAATTTGGATTGCTTGGATTTAAGCAAGAACAAAAGCACTAAGCCAAATCTGCTAAGCCCATTTCCAATTTTAATATCGACAATTAATCAGTTCTAGTTGAGGGACATAAGTTTGGATGGTAAAAAATTCACATTAATATTTCAACATAGATATACTTTAACAATTTTGCGACAAACTATAGGGCGTGTGAGGAGTGAAAACACCCATTGTGAGTTGTGACAATTAAACTTAGAGGTCGTTTGGTAACACATTTTTGCGATTTATCAGGCTTATCAATCAACTTTTTCATCAAAAACGTGACTTTTGTTTTCGCGCGCTGAATTGTGTAATAGTAAGAAAAAGTAAGGTTGAAGTTACTTTTCTGGCTATATTGGCTGAAATTACTGTAGATGACCATTTTAGCTATTTTACATATAATTTTTCTTTATTTTATTAATAAAATATATTTTAAGAATAATTTTTTCTTAAATCAACAGAATCAGCCAATGCAGGTTATGCAGCCACTTCAGCCAGAACTTCATAAATTTCAGCAAAATCAGCCGAATCAGCGTATTTTCGTGTTAACAAACGAGCTCTTAGTATACGTTCATCGATTTCATTGAACTTATACTACAATGTGCTATATATGCTCTCAATCATGTGATCATATCTTTCTATTACAATTTGTGTGACTATTACTAAACTTGATTGAATGACGATTTTGTAGAGATTGAGATACCTAATGAAAAAAATGTCATTAGCTTTTCTAAATGGATTATAATCATATAAATAGTTAATTTATATTAATACTCCCTGTCCTAAATAAACTTCACACTTTGACTTCACACAAACTAAGGAAATAAATTTGAATTTATTGTAGAATACACTGTTGTGACACAGTTTGGCATTGTTTGACACTGTTGTGCACTGTTTTGATGTAGATAATTTGTCAGATAAGGAAGGGAGAACAAGTGTGAAGTTTATTTTGGACCTACCCAAAAAGGAAAGTGTGAAGTTTATTTAGAACCGGATGAGAGAGTATTATTGAATTTTAAAAAATATATATCTATATGTGAATGACATAATTATTAATATACTAGTTGGATTGTAACATGAGATGGATGGTAAGAGGCAAAATGATAATTTGGCAAAGGCAGAAATGATATGCCCTGGTTTACGGAAATAGCTGAGTTTACGGGAATGTTTGAGGTTTACGGGAGTGGTTGACTTTCCAGAAATATTAGAGGTTTACGGGAGTTGTTGAGTTTCCAAGAGTGATAGAGATTTACGAGAGTGGTTGAGTTTCCAGGTGAAGATTGATTTTGGGTGTAATTTGAGTTTCAAGGTGAAGATGAATTATACAATGTTCCGATCTTAGTGTTGATATCTAACCCGTTTAATTTAGATTGGTTTATCTAGTTTTCGATTGATTCTGAAACGATGACACCTAGAGAGAAACCAAGAAACTCAAATTACACCCAAAATCTATCTTCACCTCGAAACTCAACCGCTCCTGAAAACCTCTATCATTCCGGAAACTTAACAACTCCCGTACACATCTAATATTTCCGGAAACTTAACCACTCCCGTAAACCTCAAACATTTCCGAAAACATAACAACTTTCGTAAATCAGGCCATATCATTTCTGCCTTTGCTAAATTACCGTTTTGCCTCTTACCCATCTATCACATGTTACAACCCAACTAGTATATTAATAATGAGTTTTTTCTGGATTAATGCTAATTAATTAAATAATTACGGAATTAGTGTTGAGTTAAAACTATTTACCAATATACTGCTGGGCTTAACTCTGATCGGGGAAAGTCGTCAAATCGTTTGGCGACTTATAAGTCGCCAAACCATTTGGCGATTTTCCCCTTCCCAAATACGTCAACACCCAAACATTCTTTTTCAGACCGACGCTGGTCTGGGCCCTACCGGGGCCGGTCGGGGGCGCCCTGATGGCCAAAAATTGCGTTTTTCATCCTAAATTCACCGTTTGATGACTTACAGAACACATACAAAACACATTTTGGTAAAAATGATACAAAGCGAGAAACACAATTTGGTAAAAATGATACAAAATGATAAAAAGTATTAATAACACAATATCCATTAGTTTGCAGGTGAAAATACGTTAAAAAGTAAAGTGTTTCTACAAAATTTGGTGTACATTATTTCGTCCAATAATAGAGAGACTACAACTTCTCATGGTCTTCTTTATCGTTTTGGTCATGGTCTCGGTCAGTGGCGGACCCAGAAAGTCAGAGCAACGGGGTCTTTACCCTTTTATATCTCTAATCTCTAATTAATACAAATATGAAACTAATAAAAAAATTGACCCAATTCTTCATTTACTAATGGCGAATCATTTGAATTAACACCTGAACTACTCCCGGTACTCTAGGTTTCTTTAAATTTGGGTACAACATCAACATATCTTTTCATCCTAAATCATACTCCCTCCGTCCCTTAAAACTTTGTCATCTTTCTTTTTTGGGACGTCCCAAAAAACTTTGCCACTTTCCCTTTTAATCAATTATTTTGTGGTTTCGGTTATTTCTCTCTCCTCTGCACAAACCTCAACCACACAGTTTTTACTTTATTATTCTCCGTGTCGGTCAACTTTGGCAAAGTTTTAAGGGACAAAGGTAGTATAAAATTGAAAATAACATTTACAAATACATTAATTTATTAATTTAATCTAACATTAAAAAAAGATATGCAAAGAAAAGCAATAGATAAAAAAAATTCGGCGACTGATGTGCTTATATTTTACACACTTTTTAGGCCTAGTTTGTTGATAATTTTAGTTATTAAATTTGTACTTTTGTACATATTTTTATTATTTGTCGTTAATTTGTATTAGTGCAGTCCTATGCGTGTATTTTGTATTTTCTAGTACATTTGATGTTATTTGGGTACATTTAGCGTGAAGAAATGAAGAAAATAAAAGTTCAAGTTGGAGGATAACAAAAGTGAAATTTCCTTCAAAGAAAATAGGAGTAAAACAGAGCTGGGATTCGAGCTCTAGTCATTGGGACAAAGAAGGACATGCTCAACCAATGAGCTAAATGAACCAAGTTGAAGTTTTCGTTGGAAATTCGTATACATTGTTTAAGCCCAGCACTGAAAAAAGAAATATAACGAATAGGCCAGGTTTCGAACCCACGACCTCATATTTGGAATAAGCACCCGTCACCGTTGCACTGATCAATTCTTTTGGTTCTAAGGTCGTTTTTGTGTTAATATACATTGAATAATAAATTTTATATAATATATATAGGTATTTTTTTCGAGGTGCACGGGGTCTCGGGACCCTGTGGGACCCTTAGTGTGTCCGCCTCAAGTCTTGGTCTTCAATCAGCCCTGGACCCGCTGATACCTCTATAGTGCCCACAAAAAATGAAAACGTAGTTAGTTAGTAATTAATATAATTTGAAATCATTATTTTATAATTCACATTACTATGAGTTGCGGAATTTAATAATTAAATACTTACGAAGTGGACCCCCACCATCTCCTGAAGATCTCTTCGCACATGTGGCCCTATTATGACCGGTTTGTTTACATATTCCTTATCTTACGGTTCCTATGCCACCTTCATCCATCTCATTCTTAATACATGTGAACTTAGGTCTTCCCTTAGCCCGAAACATGAATGGATCTTGCACAATTTCAGGTCCATTGCAAGTGGGCCAATAATCACGATCAGGAATGGATTTAAAACTCTTTGATATGTGGCGGCGTATTAGTCAGATGAGAAAAAAGGATCCACAAATGGATGAGAAGACAAACTACGTTGTCTGCACACAGCTAATACATGGGAGCATGAAATCTTATATATTTCCAACTTTTTACAAGTGCAAGTACGCCGCCGTAGATGGACAATTTGTTTTTGCCCACCCTTTCCCAACGTTCGGCCACCACATCTCGTTTCCACTCGATATATCCATCGGCCTATATCAAATGGAGTAACAATGTAATGTTTGGCCTTCTCACTATTCTTTTCAATCAAATCTGTGATGTGTGGGGAGCAGTCGTGGCCATCTGTCACTCTTCTTTTACTGCTTTCACACCTATTAACAAAATAAGCATTAACGTGGTAAAAGGAAACCTGGACCAAAGCGGTGGTGATGGGAAAATATCTGGCATTCTTCATCACGCTGTTGAAAACCTCAGCCACATTAGAAGTGATGGTACCGTATCTGTAACCGCCATCGTGGTGTAATGACCACATTTCCAAGGGAATGTTCCTTAGAAATTGTCGTGCCGCCACCTGCATTTCCCCTATCTTCTTGAACCCACCATCAAACTTTTTTTTTATGTTGCCTTGCGGTCCATACAAACAGATTTTTTAGGTGAGTGTCTTTGAAATGAGTGTGCACATTCGATGCTAGATGGCGGATACATAGCCTATGGTGCGCATAAGGCTCCTCCCAAGTATTGTCCACCTCATTCATTGCCTTGACTATACCTGCATGTCGATCATAAATGACACACAACTCCCTATCAGTCACAAACTCCCTTTTGCATGCCATAAACCATGGCCAACTCTCCCCATTCTCAGAATCAACAACTGCAAAGGCCATGAGAAATAATTGGTTGTTTGCATCACTACCCATAGCCACGAGCAATGTACCTTTGTACTTCCCATACAAGTGTGTGCCATCAATAGTAAGTATGGGTCGACAATGCTTAAAATCATGTATTGAAAGCTTGAATGCCCAAAATACTCTCTGAAACTGCATATAACCTGTGAAACTACTAGGGGGTGGGTACCAATGAACAACAGTTCCAAGATTGGAATGTTGGAGCGCTGTCATAAAATGGGGCAATTCAGAATATGACTTCTCCAACAACCAAATATTTCTGCAATGGCCTTTTGCTTGCCCATCCATGATCTCCTGTATGATACCTTATACCCATACTTTTCCTTCAGCATCTCAATGATAGTATGCACTTTAAGGGAGGGATCATTGCGAAGAATGTCAATCACATCTTTAGCAATGAAATCTGAAGTCATCGCCACGTCATCAGTATTGTCGGTGTTGCCAACACAAGTAACAGAATGAGGTCCAGGATAACGCGCAACTTTGAAGCTGTCGAGGTTGCCTTTGTTCTTTATGGCGCGTATTCTCCATGGGCAATCACGTTCTTTCTTCCTCTTGCATTTTGCCACCTATTTGTGTTTATCGGACTCCAACACCCGATAAAATTGGTTCTGTTTGATAGAATACAAGCTCACCATATTGATGACTTGTTCTTTGTTGTCAAACTGTTGACCAACCTCAAACTCACCTTCGGGTGTAAACCTTTTCATACCTTCTCCACTCATCCACACATCAGTAAAGCCTTCAGGGAAATCATATATTCTAGTTAAGTGGCTAGACGGGGCAGTTGCCATGACAGTATTACCATCATCTTCATCGGATGATGTCATGTCATCACCATTGATGTTCTCGTCAGCATTATCATCACTGGCCCGCCCATCCACAAATGAAGCACCATTGTGCAAATACATACCCTCTTCCTCTATAACCATGTCTAGTACAACAACATTTGAGGAGCTCCCTGCATTGACACCTGCATTCACACCATGCCTAGATACAAGTAATACAACATTTGATGTTGATAGAGCTATAGAAGAGTCACCTATTGATTGCTCAATGTAAATCTCCGATGAGGACATAGCTGTAGAAGAGTCACCAGATGCGCTGCCTGGCTGCCCCAAGTGCCTCGAGCATTGAAGCCGTGCGTCGCCACTGGGGGGATGGTCGGCCTTTTTGTGGGCAAATTCCGTTTTTTGAATGTCACTCTCCTTCGCTCGACCATCTTCTCATCGGTCCTCCGTGCTGCCCCTGGGTCTTATGCTACGCGAGGCCAGTGATCTTGATGAAGAACGAGTTTATCTCTGATTCACTGGTTCTCGCTCAACCATCTTCTCATCGGTCCTCTGTGCTGCCCCTGGGTCTTACGCTGCGCGAGGCCGATGATCTTGATGAAGAACGAATTGATCTCCTAGGATTCTCTGGTTTTCGCTCAACCATCTCCTCATCGGTCCTTCGTGCTGCCCCTGGGTCTTACGCTACGGGAGGCCGATGATCTTGATGAAGAACAGGTCTATCCCTTTCGGGACTCCCTGGTGCTCCTCCCCCCTTTTCCTTAGGGGTCTTCATTTTCGCTCAACCACCTTCTCATCGGTCCTCCGTGCTGTCCCTTGGTCTTGTGCTGCGCGAGGCCGATGATCTTGATGAAGAACAGGTCTATCCCATGGGATTCCCTGGTTTTCGCTCAACCATCTTCTCACCGGTCCTCCGTGCTTCCCTTAAGTCTTATGCTGTGCGAGGCCGATGTTCTTGATGAAGAACAGGTTGATCTCCTAGGATTCACAGGTTTTCGCTCAACCATCTTCTCATCGGTCCTCCGTGTTGCTCCTAGGTCTTACGCTGCGCGAGGCCAATGATATTAATGAAGAACGGGTTGATCTCCTAGGATTCACCGGTTTTCGCTCAACCATCTTCTCATCGATCATCCGTGTTGCCCTTGGGTCTTACGCTACATAAGGCTGATGGTCTTGATGAAGAACGGGTTTCTCCCCTGGGATTCCCTGGTTTTGGGAGTTATGTCTCCCTCTTCCCCTTTTTTTGGGAGGAAGGAATTCGGTGTCATGATTTCATTGAAAGATTTTTTCAAGTGGTCCACATTCCACATGTCGGCGGCGCGCCCCTCCATTTAGTGGAGGAAAAAGCGTCCAACAAGCGTATTATCTAGATACCCTGTACGACCAATAGTATCCCTGCACGATAATCTCTCGCTAGCGTCTAAGGCCCTTGGTGGCTGGAACAGATGCCCTCACGGATCCCCTTCATGGCTGCGGTAGCTAAGCTCAGCGGGAGACATCTGAGGTATGGTCCGCTGAGCGTCTTCTTATACGGTCGTCCGTCAATAACCTCGAAGCGCAGGGCTTGCCTCTTGATCCGGGCACCCCTCCCAGCTCATCGGCCATCTGGGTCCAAGGGAGGGGTCCCTTTCCTGAGGTAGTCAGCCACTTCGGTCGTCTAGTTTGGACCTGCAAAAACAAAAATGGACGATACCTGAAGTCTCTGTCGCCGGACGGAGTACTTCAACTCTTTTCCGCTCCGCAGGGGTATCCCCGGTTTCCGCATCCTCGAAGATCACTTGATCTCCAACTTCTTCTTGTGGCCGTCCGGCCCGAGGGACCCCTCGGGCCGTTTGTCTGCATGGCGGTAGTCAGCATCTTTGACATCCGCCTCCCGCTGGCCGTCCCGACGCCAGGCATGCGGCTTCTTGTATGGCTGCATCTGGCTCTGGGAGCCCGGCCCCTCTGTGAACTCTCTGAGGTAGCCCCTCCGGATAAGTTCATCGATGGCTGCTCTGAGGCTGCGGCAGTGATCCGTGCTATGCCTGGTCTTACGGTGGTATTCGCAACAAACCTTGTGGTTCTGCCCATTGGCTCACCGGAAATTGGTGGCTCTTCGAGCATTCCCTTGTCTTTGATGGCCTCAAAGATTTGGCTCACCGTGAACGCCAGAGGGATATGATCTGCCTCCGTATGCCATCCGTATGTGGCTTGATCCTGTGTCGCCCAGGGGGGCGTAGGCACCGCTCGTCTTCTTCTTTTTTGTTTCGGGGGGTCTGATCACCTTGGCCCCAGACGGTCCGACATTTTGCGGCTTGCAAGGACAGACGTCCCATCCCGTTGGGCAATTTCTTCCTCGACTGCCGCATATTTCTGTGCCCTGGATAGCACCTCGGCATAACTGCTTCCGAGGTTCCTCTTCAAATCCAGGTAAAGATCCCCGGTTACAAGTGTGTTGGTGAAGAGAGTGATGCCCGTGCACTTCGTGAGTTCCTCGACCTTCAGGGTTTCACCCCTCCACCGTATGAGGAAAGGTGGATAAGGTTTCCTCCTTCCCTTGGCGGACGCTCGTCAACCAACTGAAGTGCTTCTTCGGCATGGAGCTGAAGGCGAACTGTGCCTTGAACTGTCTGGACAATTGTTCAAAGCTGTCAATGCATCCAGGCCTGAGCTGCCCAAACCATTCTTGTGCCGGCCCTTTGAGGGTGCTGAAGAACACCCTGCAGATGGCCTCATCGGAGGCTCCCAACATGGAGAGTCCTCCCTGGAAAGAAAGGAGATGAGCTTTCCGGTCCCCAGCCGCATTATAACTCATGGTGCCGGACGGTCGAATGTCCCTTGGAATCTCCGCCGCCATGATTCTCGCGGAGAAGGGAGAGGATAGTGCAATCCTGGCTAAACTGGGTCAGTATCCGCTCGTCGGCTCAGTTCATTGATCTGCCTCTCGAGGTCCACGAGCATCGCATCTTGAGGATCGATGACTGGGGTTACGAGGGTTACTAATGCTAAGGCATTCCCCTTATGCACAACGTCAGTGTCACGCTGCCCGTTGATGATACGGGCCTCCTGCCTCAGGCCATTGATCACGGGGTCTTTTCCCGGGCCGCGTGATCATTACGCGGCATCACCAGTGTGCGGTCTTGGACCGCATGGTGCTGCGCCCCGTTGGAGAACCTGGCTCCCCCGGTGCCCCCCATATCTGGAGAGTGGATGTTCCTAGTGTGGATCGTTGAGCGAGAATCATCGTTCTCGCCCGTACGTTCACCGAACGTCTGTATGGAATGGAGAGAGGAGAGCGGTGTATGCTCTGTGCTTGCGGAATACACATATTCTGCCTCCCGTTCGTCCACCAAACGGTGAATGGTGTCTGCCATTTCCCGCAGGGCATTCGGATCCTGTTGGACCTCATGGGGGATCATGTCGGTGAGTACCCCAAAATCCCCACAGCTCCACAAGCTGCTGGATTGGGTGCCCGCCGTCTGCTGGCGGGCCCTTCTACTGCGTGATAGACGTTCAAAGAGGTCATATGAGCTCCATGCGCTGTTTCCTGCCAGATATACTTGTTTTTAGTTGCTTTAGAGTGATTTCTTAGCTGAGAGCTTAGTTTGGAAGAACATTTTGATCAGATTCCCACAGACGGCGCCAATGTTAAGGTTTATTCCTTCAACCCATAGGCCCAACACACGACCCAAGGGTTTCGAATGGAGAATAAAGTGAAGCAGATGAAGAAATAAGCAAGGAAGGCTCAATAAGAATTCTTATTACATTGAAGGGGGTACAAGGCCGAGAGGCCTTTCCTCTCCCGCTATGCTATGAGCTGTTATAATGCTATAGTATTGGCTTGCTCATTTACCGACTATTTACAATGAAATAAATGCTACTATTTATACCGCCAATGGGTAGTTAGATGCGTTGAACCCAGCTGTGGATGGCTTGATCCCAACCACCAAATCTTCTGCATTAAATGCGCAACCACCAAATCGTCCCCATGAGCTTGCCTCCGGTTTCCTGCTGGGTCCAAAGCCCTGCAAGACGAGCGTCCGGTGCTGCCCTTGCCAGGACCTTGGCTTCCCGCCAAGAGGTGGGGACGTTCGTCCCCTCGAGCTTGCTTCCTACCTCCTGCTGGGTCTGAAGTCCTACAAGACGATCGTCTGGTTCTGCCCCTGTTCCAAGGCACCTGCCTATGCCACGATACGTACGTCCCCTGGGCCTTGGAGTGGGAGTCTGGCCCTGTTGGGGATGAACCTCGCCAGGATAAGCAGAAAGGTAACTCGTTCGCTCGTGCCTTCTGAGGACGTTCGTAGGGCGTCCCTTGAGGGTTTTATGGACCAACCCCCGTTGTGCCATTAACCCAACACACTCTGTAAATCGTAAAACTTGACCTAGAACAAAAATAAAAACTGAAAGATGTAGATCTAGGTTCACCTCGAGCTTTGACTTAACAGTTTAGGCCTCTAAAGCTCATATTAATCAAAATTATAATGTTTTGATTTGTTCTTACGGGAGAAGCTGCTCGGTGAATGATATTTGTTTGGGTTCTTACGACCTTATTGGTGGGTTCTTACGGGAGAACCAGCTGCCGGTTTGTTCACGACGAGGTGGGGTTGGACGGCGAAGGTGGAATGCTGCGATCTACGAGTAAGTTGGACATGAGGGAGCAATGTCACGAGCGTTGTAAATCCAAGTCGTCGTTGCACCAGCAAAGACTAGCTGTAGCTTCCCACACATGGCTTCTTCTAACTTCCCATATTACTCGTCGATTTCTGCCAGCAAATGCATGAACTTCTCCAGCACTAGCAAGCTGACACTCGAAAAGCAAGAAAATATAAAGAAAATGTTACCTAAAGATCAATGGTCGAAAGATTTGAGATTCACACCTCATTACCTCAAGATCGTACACCGTAAAGAACAAATGAACAAGTACTGAACATCTATAAAAACTAATTATGAACTAATGGATTGAATGGTTCATTCATGATCATTGAGCTTTTTGCGTCAATGCTTAGTGTGGCGGGTTCCATAAATGTGTACATGACACATCTGAACGAAGCTAGAGTTGAGAGAATGTATCTTAATTCAGATAATATTTTTAGGGCAGATCCATGTAAGGGTTTTTATGGAATTACACACGTGAGAGTTCTTAAACCGTCTACTTTGTGATGATGTTTCGAATCATAAGTTGACAATGGAATTAAAGTAGGTACATCAATGATGCCGTTGAGAAATATATATCACTTTATGGGATTGTGTAACGAAACGAGATTTAAATTGATGAAGTTTGGGTAAGGGTCACATATAGTAAACGAGATTTTTACTATCACCTAAAAAGACACTCGATATGTAACATTTTTTTAAGATATGGTGAGTAAGGGTCATATATTTTAACATATGGTTTAGTTGTAATACATAGGCATTTTATATTATACTAAGAGATGAATTGTAAATTGAAAAAGGATTCAAATATTAACTATGCCTTTGTGGGAAAAATGATTATTTTTCTTTTTCTCTCAAAATATGGCTTACCCTTTAAATTCAATATTTCTTATCCTAATCTATGTCCAATTTCTGCCTCAGCTCCGGTAGGAAACAATTGTTAGAAAGGTCATCAAAAAATTTAGATGATTTTTTTCCCATTTTATATATAGATTTTCCTAATAGTCATTTGAATGACATGTTTCATGATGACGGTGACATCCGTTAGTGACATGAAATCCGGAATGACATCGTTAGTGATGTGAAAATGTGATAGTTATATTATGTTTTTTCAATTATATTACCTTGTCAGAGACATTTTTTCATATTGAAAAGTAGTCAACTTTTAAAAAGTGAATTTCAATGTATTCATATTTAAGAAAAAATCCCATTTAAAACTTAAAATTTGAATAAAAATATTCACACTATTACCTAACTGCACATGTATGTACAATATCTAAAGTGGGTTGAGGGCTTGAGTCAAGCAATAATCCAGAAAAAATTAATATAATCCCACATGATCATCTTCTAGTTAATGGATGGACTCCCATAGCATGCATTAATTGAAATAAATAAAATGGTTTTTCTTTGTCATTACCTTCTAAGCACGAGTATTAAACTCTGTAGCCGACAGCCTCCAAAGCGACCAACAACTGGAGTATCGGTCCGCGAATTCTGACCAAACAACGATAATGGTGAATCTCTCATGTTAGGTTAGTTGGATTGAATATTTGGTCTAGGAGACTGAGTTTTGAATATTTTTACTCTTTTCCATATCCTTTCTCCCTCGAAGACAGTAACACGAAAGAGTGAAACCCCATAGTTACGTGGTAAAAAATGAAGAATCTATGGGAAGATGAGCCGTGACGGTTTGACTATGTGTGGAGATAAGATTCCTCTAATCCTCCTCCAAAGGTTGAATTTCTCAATTAGGCATTTGTTTTTCTGCGATTTCTTGTCTACCCCTGCAAATTGCATCGGATTGTTCAAACCGCTGCTATCCAAACGGGACCTTAGCTTAGACTCCACGCCCCAACACGACAAGATTATAAGTCACGACAACTCAATCAATTTAACAGTGGTAGATCTTATATTGATAAGTATCAGAACTTCAGCTTCAATACACATTAGTTGAATCACTACTCGATCAATTGAGCTAATCCTGCAAGTAAGACTCCTCTAATCCTCTTCGTAGTTTTTGGGAGTTTTGATATTTTTAATTTCAATATTTTCCTTACTTTTTTTTTGATAATCCAGATGTCAGGGCTTAAACGCTCCCATAATCCTGGAGTCTATGAACTACCCTCCAAAGCCCCTAGACAATTAAGTCTGGATCTGATCACAGTTAGCCTCGTCAGTACTGGCTCCAAAGGACGAATCCAGCAGGACTTACATCACCTTTCAGGCTGCTCCTCCCATCACACGAACCCGCTACCTTCATTACCATCCTCTCCCTTCTCAGCCGCTGAGCAACTCCGTGAAGGTAGGAAGAATCATTGGGAGCAAGACCTCCCTCCTCTCCCCTAAATGTGCCTAGCGGGATTCGAACCCGAGACCTCCGCTAGGACACGAGACCTCCTTATTTCTTAGAATTGAATGGTTCTTTGTTCATATTTTATTTATATGGTTCACAATGTTGACTGAGCATAAAATTTACTACCTCCGTCCCAAATTGATTTGCAAATTTGACTTTTCTTGGTCAGACAATTTCATTTTATTTGTTTAATTACGATGTCAATTTTTAATTATATTCTAATTTGGAATTTACAACTTTGAAGAGATTTCAACGTAGTTTCTGAATATATAAATTTTAATTATTAAAAATTGAATTAATTATCGATTTGGAGCATTGACTTTTTTTATTGGTTGATAAAAAAATGTTTACTTTGTAAAATAATTTGGAACGGAGGGAGTATTATTTTCCGATATTTTTTAAGTGGAAGCTAGTAATAAAAATTTATATTGCATGCGTTCATCAGTAGTTGGTGATATTTCATGGAGATTAAGAAAAATAGTACTGTAGAACATAATAATTAGGGCTCAAAAAGTATGATGCAATAAAACGTAAAAAAAGTAAGAAGAGCTACTAATTTTTTTTTTTGACAAGAGCTACTATTTTTTTTAAAGTAGGAAACTAAATACGAATATGTAAAAGTAAAGTAAAAGTTTAAAATTCGGATATGAGTGGAAACATTTACCGTTCAACTGGCTGTACCGCGTGGCAATTTAGTAATTTTGGTGAAAGTCACTTCACTTATGTGAGGAATAATGGAATTTTGGTGAGCAACAAACTTGTTCTTTTGAGTATTAAGAGTCTAAGAATTAGTATCGTGATATCTGACTCATACCTTTTAATTGACTTTTTTTGCTTTTATAAAAAGTTTTTAAATTATGTCTATAATCAATTCCAATTAATTTCAATATGCGAATCTAATATAATATGATACGTTTGAAATATACAACTTTTAAAATGAGCATAAAACCATTGAGCATAAAAGTAGGGATGGACACGGTTCGGGCCGCCTGGCTCGGAATCGGACCGGCCCGGTACTGTTTAGAACCGGCCCGGCCCGGGAAACAGGTTCCGGTTACGGTTCCGGTCAAGGAAAAGGCGAACCGGCCCAGCCGAACCGGGCCCGGTTCGGGTCTTTTTTGTTTTTTTTTTGTTTGGGCTGGGTTTAGTTGGGCCGGGCTGGGTATTTTCGAGAGGTTTGGGGGGATGGGGGGGATGGGGGTGGGGGTGAAATAAATAAGAAATAAAAAAATTGAACCGGAACTGGCCCGGCCTGAAACCGCCGCCTACCCAGGTCGGTTCCAGTTCACCCATTCCCAAAAAAGGCCCGGCCGGGCCCAGGCCCGAACCAGAACTGGCTTGGCCCAGGCCCGAACCAGAACTGGCTTGACAAAAATATTACTACTTACTTGGTAACTATTAGTCACTACATTTGTGTTCAAAATTTACATCCTAGTAATTAAATGTAAGTTAGTGTAATGTAAACTTTACACAAAATTGTACTCTCATTTTTGTCCATAACATTTTTATTAATAATATTTAATGAAACCCCCTATATTTATCCATCATTTCAAAAAGTTTTCAATTTTAAAAACGTTCAAGTTATTCGTAAAAGCTATTTTCAGGTTAAGAAAATGATCAATTTTTCCATTACATTTTGAAATCCACTCAAAAAAATTTAAATAAGCTATAAGTCCTATAACATAAATACTTTTCAAAATCTAAATGTTTAGAAAAAAATAATTATACAAATAACAAGGATAGATATGCGAATATAATTAAAACACATACTCCATCAGTCTCACTTAAAAGTTGCCACATGATTTAGGATATTTGATTGGCCATAAAGTTAACTGATCTTTATCAATAATTAGATTTTTTTTATAAATAAAATTTACATACTCCATTTTTAAGAACTACATTAAAAAATTTATAAAGTTGTAAAAAACCAAATTTGATAAAGGTTGGATATCTAAACTAAAATATTTGAGAAACAATTTACATTGACCAGAGAATAGTTTGCAGCCTTCAAGTGAAATTACGCAAAACCAAACACGCCGTAAGGATTTCATTGAGATCAAGATAACCAAACACTCCTAAGGTTTCGTTGAGATCAAGTTGAATGAATAGATATATAAAATGTGTGGAAATGGGATAGAAAGAATAAAAAGGTAAGAGAAAATATGTACTCCCTCCGTCCCGATCATTTCTTTCAGTTTCCTTTTTGGGCCGTTCCAATTAATTCTTCCAACTTTCCTAAAAAGGAAATAACCCATACTAAAAACTTTATTTTACCCTCCCCTATAAAAAAAACCTTTCCCATTCCCCTTCCCTTTTACCCGTCTGCATCTCTCTCTCTTTCTCATTTGCTCCCACTCGCATCCCTCTCTCCCATTACTCCCACCGTCTCCTCTTTCTCTGTCACTGCATCCGTCTCTCTCAATTACTCCAACCGTCTCTCCCATTTACTTCCTCCATCCCCCCCTATGTAAATCTATCTACCCTTCCGCCTCCCCCTCTCTCACATTTTTATGAATCTAAACCCAAATACTTTGAGTATGGAGAATATTGAACACTTCATCATCCCTGACAGTGAAGAGGTTGTTCTTCCGGAGGAAGCGGTGGCGTTGGACACAGATGACCCTGTATTGGTACTCCATTCGAGGTGCATGGCTCAGAACTCCCCGGCAGAGGATGCCCTCCTCATCATCCCGAACAGTGAAGAAGAGCTTCCCGAGGATGTAAGCGAAAAGCCTGCAGAGGTCGTGGGGGAGACGGTGGACCCAAATCGGCTTAAAAGACGCAAAGACATTGACATGCATCCTATTCGGAGAAGTCCCCAACTGGAGGAGTTCCTAAAAATAATTTTGCCAAAATGGGAAACAAGGATGTGGGGCGTGGACACAGATTAGGGGAGTTTCTTCTATACCTTATCTTCGTTTATGGTTTAATTCGTACTCTATGTCCATTGTGTGTAATTTGGGGGAAGCAATGATGAAAAATTGTTTTTTGATGTTTATTGTGATGCGTGTGGGTTGTACATGGTGGTTTGGTATTATAAATGGTAGTTAGGCATACTGTGATGAAAGTATACCTTGTGTGTACTGGTCCTTTATGCATACTGTCATGAAACTGTCCATTTGCATACTGTGATGAAACTAGACCTTGTGTGTAATGGTTCTTTATGCATATTGTGATGAAAGTAGACCTTGTGTGTACTGGTTCTTTATGCATATTGTGATGAAAGTAGACCTTGTGTGTACTGGTTCTTTATGCATACTGTGATGAAAGTAGACCTTGTGTGTACTGGTTCTTTACTACTATGATTGGTTCATTCTGAGTGGTATGCTATGATGAAAGCATTAGGTTGTGATATGGTACTCTATGCATGCTATGATGACAATATGATAGTGTTTGGGTAGTTAATGCATACTGTGATGACCATGACCCTCTGATGTGGTATTTTATGCATACTATGATGAGCATATGAAAGTATTTTGGTAGTTTAAGCATACTGTGATGACCATGATCCTGTGATGTGGTACTTTATCCATACTATGATGACCATGATCCATGTGATATGGTACTTTATTCAGTACCATATGATGATCAGTACTTGTGTGGTGTGTATGTTGATGTAGTTATTCATAAGGTCTGAGTGTGTTGTTCTTGTCCCAAAATGATGAAATCATTATGACCATTGCTAGATCACTATGCTTCTACAATTACAAAATGTCTGACTATGCTTGTACTTCTACAAAAGGTCTGAGTATGCAGCATGTATTACAAAATGTCTGAGCATGTTAGTATTAATTCTAAATGTCTGTCTGTCCTGCAAAATTAAGGCATGTACAAAAAACCAAAAATTTTAAGGCCTATTATGTCTGAGCATGTACTTCATCACTGAAGATGATGATGATCATCATCTTCTTCAATTATGAAGTTCCCCTGACTTTCAGTATCCCCTGTTTGTTGTCCTAGAATCTGTTCTGTTGCTTCCAATAATTGAACATCTACCTCAATTGTTTTTGGAAGTATCTCTTCTGACTGTATCCTATCCTTTGCATTGTGTGGTAGCTTGTAATTGTTGCCTCCCTGCACTTTCAGAACATCAATCATAACATACTGATAGTTTAGCCAAACTTTGTTTAGAGTCATAGGTGATAGTTGTTTGAAAGCATCATCCACTGCATGTAACAGTTCATCCACTGTCTTGGGTGCATTCTTGTCTTTCAAAGATTGTATTGCCCTAAAAACCCTAGGTCTAGGATGTTAAGGTCTGGAGAATTGGGGGGCTGGTTAGTAAGCGTGATTGTAAACCCATCAGCCATGGAAGCACTCATATACTCTGCATCATCATGTGAAATCTGTGACCTTACACTGTCTTGTTGTATTATGATTTCTTTGCTTAACTGTGAAGGCCATTTTTCCTTGATTGCTGGGAGGACTGTGTTGATTAACATTTCTTGAACACTTTCTTTGTTATGCTAAGAATAGGCTTGGTTTCCATAACACCTGCATTTCTATTTTTGCTTCTTCTTTTTGTTGCAACCTGTTCAACAAGTGGAAACATGCCTATTTTCCATCCCAAATGACCTCACCACTTTCTGAAAAAGGGACCTACCCACTGCACCTAGGGACATGACCTTAGTTATGAACCTCTTTGATTTGCCTACACTGTGTGGATCAGCCTCTTCCAAATCCATGTATAATCTTTGAGATGTTTTTGACATGAAAAACCATTTTTCATCAATGTGAATCACATTCTGAAATGTTTGAAAGGTAGGCTTCTGTGGCACTGACTTCTCTATCTGACCAAGGCAGAACTTCAATCTTTGCAATTTATTTGCATCACTTGGAAATGGCTTTATTGCATTTGTATGCCTTCTGATCTTACCACTTTGAACCAATCTGTGGACACTTGACTTTGATATTGAGGTGGCAGCTGCCAAGGACCTTATGGTAGTCCTTTTATGCAGTGGGATCTGTGATACCTGAGATAGATCAAATTCTATCCTTTTCTGCCATGGTACTTCCTACACACATTTACTGCATCACTTTGTACAACTTGCTTTTTAACTGTGTCCCAAATGCCAGAAATAGTTCTTCTAGACACTTCATACTCTTCAGCAAGTATGACAAAAATACCTTTCTGAACTTTCAAGTACCCCAAAGAATCCCTCCTACAGGACATTAAGAGTACATGTGTTATGCGCTCTTTTTCACTGTTCGAAAGCCTTTTTTCCCCACTGCAGCACCATGACCATCCGTTGTTACTATTTGCAAGTCTAGGGGTCCTGGTGTGGAAGAAGCTAGAGAAAATGAAGAAGAAGTTGCACCTTTTTTTGTTTTCAGTGTGCGTGTGTGTGCAGTGTCTGTAAGTGTGCGTGTGTGTGGAGTGTGTGATGGAAGTGTGCGTGTGTATGTAGGGAATTAGGAGGGAGTAGTATATGTAAAGAACCAAAAACTAATCTCTCCCTTTTTTTTTGGATTGGCGCCTCTATGTATGCAACTTTTAGACAAATGTGAATAGTCTTTACTATTCACATGTCAATCAATCTACTTTTAATCATTTTCCCACCTTATTAAAGTTTTTACCTCAAATTTTACCCATTCATTTACCCCATTCAGCTAAGGGTATAAGGGGAAAGTCAACCCCTTTATAAATTTGCATAAATTTGCGATACCGGTCAAAACCGGAAGAAATTCCTGAGACGGAGAAAGTATGTATTACTCCCTCCGTCCCTTAAAACATTGTCATCTTTCGTTTTTGGGACGTTCCAAAAAACTTTGACACTTTCCCTTTTAATCAATTATTTTGTAGTTTCTGTTATTTCTCTCTCCTTTGCACAAACCTCAACCACGTTTTTACTTTATTATTCTCCGTGTCGGTCAAATTTGGCAAAATTTTAAGGGACGAAGGTAGTATATATTTATATTTTGTATGGTAATGAAGCAAATTCACAAACCCTGAGTAATTATACAAAGATAAAAGATGTTTTCGTTTGAATTGAAATTTATTGATCTGGTTTAGTCTTATCTGGTCTGGTTTGATTTGTTTAAACCTGATTTAGTCTAATCTGAACTGATCTTGCCTGCTAAATGTCTGGTCTCTATGTATTTTATAACTGTCTAAGTCTGATATGGTGTGATCTGATCTGTATAAGTCTGATCTGATATGTTAAAATGTGGTTTGGTTCAGTCTAGTCTGTTTAAGTCATGTCTGGTCTGGGACTGAAAACAGTCCAAAAGAAAACATCCAAAATGATACTAGGATATAAGTCGCAAAAATAAGAACCAGTAAAGTTAACGCCACAATTAAAATATTTAGTCCGATATGCATTGGGAAAAAACTAAATTTGTGAAAGATAAAGGAAGACTGCAATTTCCTTAATTAGTGAATGTATTCGTCCAGGAGAAAGAAGTAGCGGTGGGATGGTGGTGCCGATAGGGTGGCAGGCGACAGTGTGGGATGATTACTAGAAAAAAGTCGCCTGAAAATTATCATTCAAAAAGCAACATAAAAATATGAAAATGACATTTGACAGTGACATAAAAGTCTGGCAATCACATAATTTTTTTGGCAGTAACACCATGTTTTCCCAAATATATGAACTCAGTCACATTTTTGTCCTCTTGTAAAAATGGTCACATTTGTACCATTTTTACAAATCGGCTTTAATTTAGTAATAATAAAAAAACGCCCACATATTATTATAGCCATTAAAGTAAAATAATTACAAGCCTAGGCTATCTTCACTCCGTAAGTGAAATAATTACACCCACCACAAGAGTAGCTGTAAAGAAAAGAACAATCAGCAAACCAAATTTGAGAAGTAATCGCTCTTCTAAAATATATTCCCAGGCGGAAACCTAAACCAAAGAATTGAAAAGTAGCAGATGGAGCTTATCTTGAATAGACGTATTAAAGAAAAAAATGGATTTTTACAGAATGGGCCAACCTTACAACAACGCCATGAAGGCTCCTACCTATGGTGGGGTAAGGAGGAGTCGGATGTACGCAGCTTTACCCCTATACTAAAGCACAGAGAGACTGTTTTTGGATGACACGTGATGAAAATCACTCGAAAATTGCATGGACATACTACTGCTCCATAACGAAGAAGCGCAAAGAGTTTGGTGACCCATTTTGCTTTATTCCATATTTTCTCAAGCCAAAATATAGTGAGTCATTGGCTCATTTGAAATAAAGGAAAGAAGTGGGCCAACCTTAATTCACTGAAAAATATTGCATAAGGCTTACTTGCGCCTCATCCTCAAGGCATATGCCTTGGACCTAAACAGCATCAGACATACCATTCCCTATATTGGGTGTCACCTCAAGGTGTGTTTGGTGAGATGTGCCTCTAGGTTTATTGGCATTGGCGCATTGCTCAATTACGAGCTCTCGTTCCAAGTGCAGATTCTATAGTCTTCTTCAATCCTACAAAAGAAATTCTATAGCAGTTGCTTTAAGGGTATTTGTGCCTCATGGAATATGATAGAAAAGGGACAAAAAGGAGCTAAGGGAAGTTAATGTCTTGTGTTTGGTCTCACCTCAGAAAATGCAAAAGGATAATGAAATGTGACTAATGGTTTTAAGATATTGACATACGTTTAGATTTCTCAGTCTTTAAAGAATAGAAATAAATAAAAGAGTTTGAAAAAATATCTTCAGTAAATATATTTCCTTTATACCTTTCTCCCTATTTTCTTTACCAATCATTTTGTTGAGTTCCAAACGAACCCTAATGGAATAGAGCACATGTTTCTCTAAAACATCAGTAGACAGTACAATACCTGAATGTTGTACACATATGATTTGCCATCATGATTATCAGACAGCTTCCTCGACCATATCTCCATTATTTTATCAATACTCCTGGCACCGTACATATACATCAAAATGTTGCTGGAAGTATTTCCCAGGCAGCACCGTCTAACACAACAAAGTCAATTCATCTTCCTGAGCGAACGGTAAGGAGAAGGAAAAGGAGATCAACAAAAAATGCAAACAAGATGGCATATATTTACCTCCCTATATATTGAGCAATGAGCACTAGGTGTCCTCAATTAAAGTTTGCACCATTTCTATATATCTAGGACAGTAAAAAAACTAAAAAACAGGATTTGGGCTTACAATGCAAGTGAGAGTAAGTGTCCTCTTCTCTTACTCCATTTCAATGGCATGCTCTTATAAGGCTCATGGTATCATTGTTAACCATTGCTGAAAAACAACCTGACATTAAAAGGTGTTAGAGTTGAGCCCTTATATGATGATGATGATGATGATGATGATGATGAATTGATGATGATGATGACAGTGATGACAATTATAAGGGATTTTTCTGATTATTTTACTAAGATAGAAAGTATGTACATAAATATGACTAAATGTTCACTGCTACAATATAAAATAGAACACCACTTGTATTCACAACAAAAATACCATGATGCTCCGTGTGCATCAAGTTATATTTTGTCCATTACTTTTAGTTTAGACATATTTTGTCATTATACCAAATAATAAGAATACTTTGACATTAACAAAAATACTCCAGTCTCCTTAAAAGGAGAAATATATTTGCATCAAAGCTAGTACAAGTTCACACACACCTTCTTTATGTTTTCATTCCAGCAATATTTTACATCCTTTAGCTATCAACTTCTTTTCCAAGCCAAAAAACTTCAAACCACATAACACTAAATCGGCCGTCTTCTTCTTCATTTGCTCAATAAGTAACTCATCATAAACCAAAACCTCCGCTTCACTAAGAAGTTTGCGCCCCCTCATTACTGAAAAAACTTCCCTTGCTTCTTCAATTGTACCGTGCAAACACATCCCACAAATAACAGCACAGTATGTGATTTCATTAGGATGGCAACCTTGTTCAATCATTTCATCTATAACTTCAACCAGTTTGCCAGCATCATTAGATTTGCTTATGTGGATGATCGTAAGTGTATACTTGAATTCCATTGGCCCGTTTGTGACATTCGCCAAACAGTCACGTATAAGCATCATAGCGTCATTAATCTCTCCAGTCTTGCAAAGTTTCTTTACTAGTGAGTCATAAGCCATGGTGGAAGGAATCAAGGGAATTTCTCTTAGCCGGTTATACCACTTGCACGCCTCCTCTAGGTCATCAATCTCAACAAAGCATTGAATTGCGATGCTACAGCTCGTTGAATAATCAATTTGAAACTCTTTATTATCTTTTAATTCTTGGAAAAGTTCTAGAGCTTTATCCGCCTTCCCAACATCGTGTAGTGCCTCCATTAGAACACTATAGCATTGTACACTGCAATGATACTTGGGATTTACCTCTTTAAAAACTTCCCAAGCTGGCATTACCTTGTCAGAACTTTTCACCATAACGGAAAAGAATTTGGATAGATCATCTTTAATGCAAAAACCCAGTTTCTGCATTCGATCAAGCAAACTGGTGAAGTCATCCATTCTTTTTGCTTCTGCATAAGACAGCAAAATAGGGTTGATGGTGGAAAAGTCAGGTTGGAGATCTTCTTGAATTGTGACCGTGAAAAGTTTATAAGCCCTATCAACATGATTAAGGTTGCATAGACCTTCAATGAGACAATTATATATAGCTAAATCGGCCCTATAACCAGAATTTATCAAATCTTTGAGTAAATCACAAGCAGAACCGACCTTCTCGGTTTTAACAAATGCTTCTATCAGAGATCCATATATAGCCCTATCAATCAAATGTCTCTTCTTCTTCATCTCCTTAAACAACGCATACCCTTTCTCCACCTGATTTCCTTTGCACAATCCTGTGATGAAAGTTCCATAAGCCATAACATCTGGCTCAACCCTGTCCTTCATCATTTCCTTCCAAACCCTAGAACAACCATCCAGATTTCCCTCAGAAATAAGAACCTTTACCATTGCTGTGTAGGCAAAAACATCTGGTTTGCATACATTTTTCCTCATTTTATTCAAAAGCTCAATTGCTTCATCAACTCGGCCAGATTTACATAAACCCTTTATCAGTAACATAAAGGTCACACTCTCCTCCACTAGTCCATCCTGCTTGAAGTCATCATAAACAGACAATCCTAAATCGAGATGGTCTGTTTTAATCAAGGCTTCCATTATCCTATTATAGAGGAATACTCTTGGTTTGATGTCGAATTTCCTCATTTTCTCATACACATGGTACACTCGAAGACCCCTATTTGCATCAGAGTGCATTCTAATTAAAATTTCAAATTGTTTCTCTGTAGGTGTCCTCCCCTGCATATGCATTAACTCGGGTACCCTATCTGCATCCCGAAACTGATTTGTTCGGTTCAATGAATAAGCAAAAGCATTGTAGCAAGCAAAGTCATGCCTATACCCTTTTTGCTTTCCTGGGAAAGAATATCCACAAATAAATGAAGAAAAGGAACAACTGTTACCAAAGGAATGTGAATTATTGTTAATGTCTTTAATGAAAAAAGGAGAATGACAAAGAAAGAATATATTTACCAGCCCAGTGGAAGAACTTGGATGAAAGCTTCGGATCGATATGGGGGATCTTGAGAACCTCGGTGACGAGTTTGGGAGTGACCCGCCGGAGGCGATTGAGATCTTCGATAACCTGTGTACCCCACCGTCCGTGCTTTTTGAAGGAGTCGACGATATACCTAGCAATGGGGGAGAGATTCTTTGCCAAGGAGAAGAACTCCCGAGATGGGTCTCTAGCGGGTCGGGAATTTAAGTCCGGATCCCAATTCTGAAGCTCAAATTCGAGTGGATCATATGGTGCCCGCCGGGTCTTGGTAGCGGGATTAACGGTTTGGCGGTTGGAGAATAGGCCACCATGGACGGTAGGGCGGTTCTGGGTGGGTTTCCGGTGACCGTAAAAAAAGTAAGGTTTGAGGTGTTTGACGGCAGCGTCTGGGGAGGGCTGAGATGGCATTTTTAAAAATATCTGAAACCAGTTTTCCTCCGGCAACACCAGTGGGTTGTCTATGTAGACATCACTACTCACAAGTAACAAGAACAGGTAAAAAAGTTTGACAAATATGAAGTATTAAAGAAGAGGCTCATAGTAGACTAGAGCATTTTTAATATGGGTACCGTACTTACCATTCACTTGATTCGTCCAAATGATTATATCATTCTTAATTTAGATATAAATAATTCAACTGCAACATTCCAATTGGTTCATGTGAACGAAGGTATAGTACCTTATGGGTACCATAGAATCTACCTTACTAATTACACACAAATATTTACATAAATATTTCACGAATAGGATTCAGTATTAACTTTCTACCCACAACAGTCCTAAATAATTAATTAATTGCCCTATTATATCCTTCTGTCAATCAGAGTAGACGGTTGATGGTGAGGCAATACGGAAGCGACAATAACCGACGAATCTCCCGGCATGAAACTGACGGAAAAACTAATCTGGAAATTTTGATCGAATTCTGGCGGTAGGCGGAGGTCGGCGGCCGACAATGGTGGATGGGTTGGGCAGTCCAAAAGGCTTCAAGAGTATATTTATTCAAATATACATGATTAGTCCTATGTAGAGAATTTAAAATAATGTAGTCATATTTGTAATTTTTAGTCATGTTTACTCTTATTTAGGTTATACAGTATTCACTATTAGAGCATCAACCATCTCTGCACAGTGGATTGTAGTGAAGTCCAAGGACACACGAGATTGACGAGAGAGATATAGATCATTATCTTGAGGGGAATAATTTAAATACCCCAAACTTTTGAGACATGTGAGATAAACACCCTAAACTTGCATAACTAATATAACTACCCTCAACTTTATATAAAAGATGTCTTAACATCATGTTTTTCCACTTTTAGTCCTCCGACTATTATGTCACTGACACTTCTGGTACTTGACTTTGAGTTTTTTCACTTTAAGTCCTTCGACTATTGTGCGAAAGACACTTTTGGTACCCGTCTTTGAAAATTTCCACATTTAGGCCTTCGACTTTCATAAAAGTGACACTTTTGATTCTTCAACTATTATAGGAGTGACATTTTTAGTCGTACACTTATTATCTCAAAATCATTGTGGAAGGACTAAAAGTGTCAAAGTGATAATACTCAAGAGACTAAATGTGTGAAACTTTGAAATCGATGACTAAAAGTGTCTCTTGCACTATAGTCGAGGATTAAAAATGGAAAAATTGAAAATCGAGTACCAAAAGTGTCACTGACCCAATAGTCGAGGGATCGAAAATGGCAAAAACTCTACGTATGTGGTATGTAAGTTACGATTTAGGTTGAATACCTAAATAACTAAGTTATATGTTAGGGGTTTTGCCCTCAATATTACTAAAAAGTAGACAATTGACATAAAAGTGACTTTTTGTTTTAATTTCCGAAAATGTTACTAATAAGCTTTAAACTTACTAAATTACCCCTAATTTGCAGTTACTTTATTTTATAGTTACATTACACGCCACACTGACATCCACCACAGTGACCAACACACACTACCGTCGGCCGGTGACCGCCGTCGCCGCCTGATTATCGATGTCACCAGTCACACTGACACCTCTTCAGTGACACATTCACAGTGACATCTCCACAGTTACTTCACCATAATGACTCCACCCCACAAGTCATATTTACTACGTCCGCAGTTACTCCGGTGAGAACTTGTCGCCGCCGCCGCCAACGACTCCTACTTCCCAACCCTAGCCCCCAACCTCCAGGTCGTCAACACCGTCAAAACCATCGCTGCCGCCAGTCACCACCATCCCACCATTGCCTCACTCTCCCAATCACCATCTCACACCCCCATACCCTCGTTGCTCGCACCCAACACCCCCAACACCCCAAACCTATCCCTAGCCGCCGTAGGCAATCACTGCCCCCACTACCTCACATCTAACCTTAGCCACCTCCACCCACCATTTCTGCCTCCTAAGGCTAAATCTTAGCCTCAGTCCGTCTGGTAATCTAACCACCGTGCCGCCCATCGTCGAACCTAGTTGCTGCCATCACCTTCACAACAAGATCTGTTTGCTTCACCATTGCCGAAGAAGAAAAGAGAATAACAGATCGCGACAGAGATGATAACAGACCTGGCCTGGGAGATGTGCGGCTGCGACGGGAGTGATGGCGGACTGGTGGAGGCGGCGGACGGTGGCTATCTTCGCGGAGCGGCAATAGTCGACGAGAGGCAAGCCACTAGCTAATCGATCGCAGATTTGATAGATGGAGGCGGAAAGGTGTGTAGATCTAATTGATGGAGGCGGAAGAGTGCGTATGCTATTATCGAGGGCATTTAAGTCTGTTTCAACACTTTTAATCAGTTTTTTGTCTACACGAAATTTTGGTCATATTTTTGTCTATCTAAACTCCTTAACTAATATTTTTATCATTCTTTCTGTATGTCAATATAAGATATAATGAAAGTATGTTACAAAAATTTTATATGCATATACTCTGTAATATAAGCAATGTCAAATTTTACAGTAAAATTTTCTTATATAAACATTTACTCCCTCTGTCCCGCAAAATAGTTCCCAGTTTCCTTTTTGTGTTGTCCAAAAAAATACTTCACATTTCTCTTTTTGGAAAGTTTTGTGTGGCTACCATTCATTTATCTTTTTCTTACACAACCGCAACCATACATTTCCACTTTATTCCTATTTTCTTAAAATCCGATCCAAATCCTAGTGGAAACTGTTTTATGGGGCGGAGGGAATATTACTTTTTAATTATACATTATAAATGAATTATATGCTAATAGAAGATATAATGGCAATTTGTTTTGCAAAAACGTTTTACAAGATTGTACAACATTTCTTATTTTTAAACCATCACTTAAGGGATCTGACTTTGATAACTAACATCCTAATCTCAAGAGGTGCTGCTGACGGCTCCTTATTGATGTTCACCCTAACCTCAAGAGGCATTTGTTGTCGCTTCACAACTGGAGAGCTTAGCGTTGACTATGCCCTTCACTATTTCGACAATTCTGTGTTAACCCTCTGAGCAGCGTAGAAGTGGTCTTCTCCTTAACTTTCGTCTAGGGTTTGTCTTTCCGGCAGGCGGCTTGCGTCGTTTCTTGTCCGGTGAATGATTTGGAGCGACAGTGGGAAGATGGTCGTTACCACGCTCTGCCTCTCCATGCATGGTCTTCTTCTCTATGATTGATGTTTCTGGATGTGTTGCGATGGATCGGATCTGGAGATTTGTGATTGAAACCTTCGATTGAAAAATAATCTGACAATTTCTGGATTGAGTACTGAGCAAGGGAGAAGACAGAGGCGGTCCACCCCCTCTTGAACGACCGCCCTAGAGCGACTGAGGTGCTAGGGTTTGGAAGATAATACTTCACGTATTTATCAATTATTTTACTCCCTCCGTTCTTTATTATCTGTCCTCTTAGACTTTGGCACAGGTTTTAAGAGGAAAATAATAGTTGTAGTGTTAAAGGTGTAGTGGGTTGTGGGTAAATGAAAAAGTAGGAAAGAAAAAGGGGTAATGGTAATAAAAGTAGGGATATAAAGGTATTTTGATTGAAAAAACTTACCAAAAAAGGAAAGAGAGACAAATAATTAAAAACGTCCCAAAAAGGAATACGAGACAGTTAATAAAGAACGGAGAGAGTATTTTTTATTGTCTTACTTTCATGTTAAGTTTGTTTATGTTGCTCTGTTTTTTGTTGATGTCTTCAGACTTACGTCTACAATATGGATTGACAATTCTGCTAGATATTATGTCGTTAGAAGGATCTATATGACCAGTGATTGTTGTGTCACACCCGTTTGGTTGTTAGCGATTCGTATTGCTCTTTGAGGAGTGCTCGTTTCTAAGTCTAGTCGTAAGGTTGACAGTGTTAGTTGGTTACGGATAGTTGATGTCAGTGTTGGTCTCTTTGAGTTTGTGTTAACGATCTTGATCCTAATGATATTAATATAAGCGGTATTTCCTTTCAAAAAAAACTCATCACTTGAGCTCTTTTACTAAAAACGTCATATAAGTACACTTACATTAAAAATGGATCAATTTAGTGATTTTGACTTGTAATAGAAGGTTTTTTATATTTAAAAACACCAAAAAATAGGGGGGGGGGGGGGGGGGATTCAGATTTTCAAACTCAATATTTTTGAAATGTTGAAATTACTTTTATATTCGACATCTATTTAAAATGTTTTTACAGTTTATATTTTCCATTGTACATTTTCACTTTATATTTTTAGTTTTTTAATTTTTTATTTTATTGATTTAATTTTTTTAAATTTTTTATCCGTTTACATTTATGTATTTTTCATATTATTATTGCACTGTTTTTCAAATATATATGAATATTTTATAAGATTTAGCAATACTCCTAATTATGTTTTCAAAAAAAGAACCTGCTATAGCAGTTCAAAATGGTGTGATTGATTGTATTTAAAAAGTAAGTGTACTTATATGATAATTTTCTTAGTAGAATGACTTAAGTGATGAATTGAAAATAATAGAAGGGTCTATTTGAACATATTTCCATTCATATATTACAGTTTTGAAGTTAGTTATAGAAATAAAAATTCATACATCTAATTATTCATTATTAATAAAGTCAATATCACCATTGGGAGGGGGGAGGGGCGGGGGAGAAATCATAATTATGATTTCTAAAGATAAGGATTGTGCGGCTAAATAGGTCCTCGAACTTTCATAAAAAAATCAATTAAGTCCTTTTATAGGAGACTCTGTCCGGCCGTCGCGATTTGGGACGGTCCCCGGTGGATTTTTTTGATGACTTTTTTTGAGCATCTTATTCATCAAGTCTAGTTTACTCATTCCAAATTTCAGCTAAAAATTCAATTGGGAACGTATTCAAATTAATTCAAGAACGCAAACATGCGCAGTTATCTTCATGAATTAATTTGAATGTGTTTCCGGTTGAATTTTTAGCTGACACTTGGTATGAGTAAACTCATTGAAGAGTGTCATACTCTTAAATGGACAAATTGCCACAGGATAAAGGAATTGTGAACTTTAATCATATTATT